TGCAGCGATCCAGGGGGGCGGTGATGGCCACAGGTGCATTTGTTTTAACTTTTTTTGTATTACCTTTCTATTCTGAGTTCAATAAATAGTTTCATAATTTCAAACTTCAATGTTTCTAATTTACACCTTTCTTTACTATATTTTACGAAAAAGGTAGAAACATTAATACATATATCTTTCTGTTTAATTGCTATTAAAATTTTAAAAAAATTAATTTCCAGGGGGTGCTGAGTAATATTTTTTCTGGAAAGGGGGCAGTAGGCCAAATAAGTTTGGGAACCACTGTGCTCCAGCATGGATGAACCTTGAAGCCATCATGCTCAGTGGAATAAGCCAGTCAAAAAAAGGACAAATACTGGATGATTCCACTTATATATAGGTCCCCAAAGCAGACAAATTCTTTAGAGAGTAGAATGGTGGTTGTCAGGGACTGGGGCAGGGGGTAGGTAGTTTAATAGGGACAGATGTTCAGTTTTGCAAAATGAAAAGGTCATGGAGAAGGATGGTGGTGATGTTAGCACAATGTCGATGTACTTAACGCCACAGAGCTGTACACTTGAAAATGGTTAAGATGGTAAATTTATGTCATGTGTATTTTAACAAATTAGAACTTTTTTCTTCATGACCATATAATTCAAGCTTTATAAAGGTTATTAACATCTGGAGATTCAGTGGAGAAAAACAACACCCCTTTTATTCTACCATATTGCTTTACCTTAACTGGAAATGACTGGCAGATTCGTGGCTGTTTAGTCTTGGCTTGAATTATTCAAGATGACTACAGCTTCCTTGCATATATTATTTCTCCTCCAAGAGACCCCTGTGCTTCTAAGTGTTATAGCCATGGAAAATTCTGTTACCTGTGGGGTCCTCACTAGCCCATTATAATTTCTTGATCAGTAAAGGCAGGTTTGGCTTAATATGGAATATGCAAAAATATTTATATTCTACTTTCAACATAAATCTACCCCATTAAATTTCCTGAATAGAAAGAATATATATATATTTCAACTGGCTGCTGTCATTTAATTTCACAAATCTTTGGTAGAGCCAACATTTTATTTTTTCCTGAAATGTTGATTGGGGTTTCTTGTCAGAGATGATGAGGATTAAAAATAATTGTCTATAATTTTAACACCAGTTATCCTACTGGTAAGCAAAATGGCAGCACTGTGACATTTTAGATTATTGGGGTTACAATTTAAAGTACACATTTGAGAACTAGTCCTTTATAGTGTAGTTTAACATTATAGTGTAGTTTTAAAATAACTATATTTCTGTGCCAGGCACCTTATGATGCATTATCTTATTTTATTCTTCACACCAATCTTATACACTTTGCTCTCTCTATTTATAGATGAGGAAACTGAGGCTAAGAGAGTTAGGAAGCAGGCCCCAGATATTTAACTAAACAGTGGCAGAGCGGGATTTGTCTGCTCAATTTTAGAATCCTGCATGTGAATTATTGCATATTATAGAATTCACTGCAGTAGCATCACCATTCTGATCAATTTTGTGATCAGAAGGCTCTGCAATCATCCTATAAACACCTTTTTATTTTATAAATCCTCACCCAAGGATATTTTTTCCAATGATTTCTAGAGAGAGTGGAAGGGAGGGAAGAGGGGGAGACAGAGAGAGAAACATTGACCTGAGAGAGACACATGAATTGGTTGCCTCCCACATGCGCCCTACTGGGGCTTGGGATCAAACCGGCAACCCAGGTATGTGCCCATGACTGGGAATTGAACCCACAACCCTTCAGTCCATAGGCTGATGCTCTAACCACTTACCAGCCAGGACTAAACACCTATTTTTATTTATATTAATATAATTAGAAAAACTGTTCTCTATAAATAACACACATTAAAATATTCAGCAAAATACTATTTAAAACATTTTGTAAGAAAGAACTTTTCTTATTTTTGAAGACCTAACTCCATATTCTGGACTCAAAGCAAAGATTATGACCATAGCAACAGTGGGCAATCTGCTAAGCAAGACTGAGCTGGAAGTGGGTCTTATTTGCCATCGGTCCTTAGGGTCTAAATATCTTTTTGGAACCAATCACGGATACTCTTCTTTCTCATTTTGTGGTCTGTCATCTCACTTGGTTTCTGCCAAAGACTAGTGTTTTTGTGGTGCTTGTGCCTTGTACTAAAACGCCTCCGAAACCAATTAGACGCTTTTCAGCCCAGGTTTGAGAGGGTGGCGGCAGAAGGAACAGCCTCTGAGCCGTGTCTGAGGGATGGCAGTGCTAGCTTTCATCCTGAGACAAAATGCTCTTTTTACCATCAGCTTTCTCTCTGCTGCCAATAGCAGGTAGTGAAAAGAGGATTTTGTATAGGAACAGCCAACCTAAGTGGTAAAGTCCCAGTGGAGAACCCTAAACTGTATCATTTATACAAACACACATCATTTCAATGGCTTACATTTAATGTACAAAATTTTATTTTTAAAAAGTCAATGAAAACACTTGCCACTTTTGCCTCTTATCAATAATCATTCAATCACCTTGGAAGCTAAAGATTTTACAACACTGTTAAGACAGAGGTACAGGGATACATTTAAAAAAGAACTCACCCAGCCCCCACTAGCAAAGCCTGGGACCCATTCCCCTCATTTTCCTTTTGGTCTTTGTGATCAATGCTGTGAGGCAACTAAGTAGTGAGCCTGCAAATGTGTGGTGAGAAAACTGAGGTTCACCACTTTATCACAGGCTCTTCTCAACGGGAGTGATTTTGCCCTTCCAGGGAACATCTGGCACTGTCTAGACTAGAGACATGTGTCACAACTGAGAAGGGGTGGAGGGGGAGAACAGGCCTATTGGCATCTAGTGGGTGGAGGCCAAGGTTGTTCCTAAACATCATACAATGCACAGGACAGTGCCCTACAGCAAAGAGCGATCCGGCCCAAGATGCCAGTGGTGCTGGGATGGAGAAATTCTGCTTTACAGTCCCATTTCTGTTGTGTGTGTGTGTAACTGCTGGGGGAGATTTAGAATCAGAACCAACAATACAGTTATCAGCCCTCACCAAACACTAGA